AGAAAGATGAGAATGAGAACGGGGAAGAGGAAGTTGATGAAGAGGATAATGTTAATGATGACGATGACAACGAAGAAATGAGTGCGATAAAGTTTGATTGTGATGATCATTGTGACGATCATTAAGAAAAGGAGGATGAAGAGGATAAGTGTCGGGTGTACCCTCTCCTGTCTGGAGTTGAGTTGGTGCCTCCGTTGTCCTTGGCCTCGCCTCGTTGACCTTCTTGTTCGCTGAAGCCACGCTGTCTCCATGGGGCAGAGGCGAGAGTCCTAGACTGTTGCTGGGCGGGTAGAGCATCAGCTTCCTGGCCGCAAGATGCATGTAGATCAGGCTGGTCGAGGTAGGCCGCGGCCGGTACTGGAGGACGAAGACGACGATCGAGTAGGCCAATCGGTTGCCGGGATACTGCCAGGCTTCGAGGTAGGAGTAGTGCTGTAGTCGTTGGCTAAACGACAATTGCATCTACGAGACCGGTTGCCCGAAAGTCGGGTTGTCAGGCTTGGCGGGTGGGCTTGCCTTGCAAGTGCAATCATTACGGGTTGCTGAGAGCTCATCCTCGGACAAAAGGTCGACGGATTCACGCGGAATGACCAGTTGTGAGATGCCAAATTCCAAATTGTCTGAGTGGCAGAAAAATGGGTTTCAACTTTCTTAGACTATAGCAAATACGACGAACACGACAAAGCATAAAAAGACAATTATAGTTGTACTGAGTAGATTTCGAAACAGGCCGAGCCCCTTGAATGAGATACCGTAAAGTGAAGGTTGAATTTTCCTAATATTTAGATTGCAAAATTATCGATGATTCTTGAATAAGCACTACTCATATAGAACATAAGTAACGTTGTCGTTTTAAATGGCAAACACATGCTTGCTTATGAGATGTATTCACCCTATTTCGTCTATGGTGATCAAGGACTGGTAGTAGAATTTTTTCCACAATAATATGAGTTGAGCTGACGTTTCCATTCAACTTGACATAGCTTTTATTTCCCAAAAGGTTTTCCAAAATCAGGGTCGAAACTGCAGTCCACCCTGATTGAGAAAACCTTTTGGGAAATAAAGGCTATGTCAAATTGAATGAAAACGTCAGCTCAACTCATATCATTGTGGGAAAATATCTTCTACCAGTCCTTCATCACCTTAGACGAAATTAGGTGAATACATTTCATTACACTGATTTACTGGTAGTCTCGAAACTCTACTCTGATACGAAAACATGCTTACTTAACCGACAATCTCCAAAGAACATAATAAATTAAGAGAGAGATCTGTCTTGTCTTAAATGTCCCAGTTGGCATGTGAAT